CATAATTAAAAAATTGTGTGAAACGATAACGGAAAGGGGACCATCGGAGAGGGTGTAGGATTTTGGTCACGGCAGCTCCGCCGGACTTTACGCACAGTTTTCAACTCACCTGTCGCCCTTTTTGCTCCAATGTGGCCACAAGGATATTCAGAATTGAATTCTAAGTGGGAAGGAAAAAATTTTACATTTTTTAGCAATCGGTGGCGGCGGCCGGTGTTCGGTCTCCTTATCCAGCGTATAGTTCTTTTTCTCCGGTGAGGGCAGGTGCAACTAAGGTTAGGGTTTCCTGGAACGCGATATTTTAATACTCATCTCATGTCGATCTAGGTCGTCCGTTCGAGAATACGTGACCATCTCTCATCTGTTGGATCTATCTTATTGGGGGAATGAATTTGGGCCGACAATCACGTGGTGCCGATGTTAGTAAGGTTGCCACGCGACGTGCTCTAGTTCACTGGGGTTGCTAACCGAGCTGTCCCATGCAGCTGATTTTTTTTTTTTTTTTTTTTTTTTTTTTTACGTTTTAACCTCCTGTTTTTAATTTTTTCAAAAACAACCATCAAATTCTAATTTTCATCCATTTTTTTTAAAATTATTTTCAATTTCGTACCTAATTTATTTTTTCTCAAAAATTCAATAAAATTAAGCTAAAATAAATAAAATTAATTATTTATATAATTTTTTTATAAATAAAATAATAAAAAAATTATTTCGGATCAATTTTTGGACTCAGGTATCACAATTTGAATATAACTAAATACATATAACTCGTTATTTAATAAATACTTTATAAATTAACAGTAATAAAATAATAATATTTAATTAAATAAAAATTAAAATTTTAGTTATTAATAAATTTATAACATTACAGTGAATAAGAAATACAATAGTATAACAATTAATATTTTTGTGTTATGTACAACTATTATGATTTTGAATCTCATCAAATATATATAATTTGTTGTGGTGAATATTATTAATATGAGTTAACTGCGACAAACCGAAAATATTTAATTAAATAAGAATGAGAATTTTGATATAATATTTGAACCTGTAAAATCCCTATTAAGTAGAAATACAGCGATATAATAGTTAAAATTATTTTTAAATATTGCGAGTTAAAATCTTATTAGATATATATAATTTGTTACCTTACAAATATTTTATGGGTTAGACAACAATTAATGGATAATATTTCATTGAAGGAGAATTAAGACTTCGGTCATTGTTATATTCAAAAGTTGCAGTGATCCCGGCAATATTAGTTCATGCCAGTTATGAAGTATTCTAGCAAAATAATGACTAATATTCATTAATTAGAGCTGTAACAAAAGTCTAATTTTTTTTTTTTTTTTTTTTTTTTTTTTTGTATTGAGAAAAAATATGTCGACTAGGCAATACAAACAAGGCAGCCAATTATTAGATACCAAACAAGTCGGACAAGAACCCAACTACAAACACAAAGGCAACAACCCAAGTACATGTATTTGGGTATATAAACACCAGTGCTGCTCTCTTCTTTCTCCCCACAACAAAATTTCCAATTTCAATTAATACAAACACATGGGCAACATACTGCTTGAGGCGCTTAATGTCCGAGTCGTCGGCTCCAGCGACAAAATCCTCGTTTTGGCTCATGGGTTCGGCACGGACCAGTCGGCTTGGCAGCGCATTCTTCCCTTCTTTACCCCTTACTACCGCGTCATCCTTTATGACCTGGTCTGCGCCGGCAGTGTCAACCCGGATTACTTCGACTTCCGACGGTACACCACTCTCGATGCCTACGTAGATGACCTGCTCAACATCCTCGACGTTCTCGGCGTCGAACGATGTGCTTATGTTGGTCACTCTGTCTCCGCCATGATCGGCCTCCTGGCGTCCATCAGACGCCCTGAACTATTCTCTAAGCTCATTCTTATCGGCGCCTCTCCCAGGTAATCATTTTATCAAACATGTAGCATGCATAAAACACATCAATCCGACGAGGCCAAATTTTCAACCCATCAAATCCGTGAAGTTCATAAAATCACACCTGCAATTTTATATGGGTGTACAGGTTCTTGAACGACGAGGATTACCATGGGGGATTCGAGGAAGAGGAGATCGAGAAGGTGTTCTCAGCTATGAAGGCGAACTACGAGGCCTGGGTCAACGGGTTCGCGCCGCTAGCTGTCGGAGCCGATGTACCACTTGCGGTGCGTGAATTCAGCCGGACCCTTTTCAACATGAGACCAGACATAACTTTATTCGTATCGAGAACAGTGTTCAACAGTGATCTGAGAGGAATTCTAGGGTTGGTCAAGGTTCCTTGCTGCGTAATTCAGACAGCCAAAGACGTGTCTGTCCCCATGTCGGTCGCCGACTATCTCCGCAGCCATTTGGGTGGCCGCACCACCGTCGAACTGCTCAAGACCGAAGGCCACTTGCCACATTTAAGCGCGCCGGGACTCCTGGCTCAAGTCCTCCGCCGAGCACTTTCCCGGTGAGACTTCCTTAATAATTATCTAATTGTTTTTTTTTTTTTTTTTCTTTTGGAAGTTTCTGCTAGAGGTGGACAGTAACAGCGGGGCCATCCGAAAAAGAAAGAAGGGGAGATGTTGACACGTGGCGAAATGTGTGGATGTTAATTGATGGAATGGTTATTTCCTGTTTGGGGATGATTAGTCAAAAGGATAAGAGTATCCACGTGATGATCACGTGATGACGTATCTATTTTAGGTTTCCTCTTTTTGTTGTTGTATATTTTTTGTCATTGGCGATAAGTAGCGAGCAACTAGCAATATAATGAAATATCATTAATCAACACTTTGTACTTTTGTAAGAACTATCCGATTGCCTTTTCTTTTTTTTTTTTTTTTAAAGTTTTAGCTGAGTTGATAAGATGTCCGAGTAGTGTGGGAGAAGATTGAGATTTCTTTCCTCCAAACTCATGATATATATATATATATATATATATTAGATATTATTAATTCACGGCACATTAATTATTATTAATAGTTACTATTCTAATCTATTATTCCTTATGAATTATTAAGTTATTTCATGATTTTTGTTATTTATTACAATTTGATTTTAATTTTTAACAGAAAATGTTAAAATGATTATAGTATTTGGATATTTTAAAAAATCAATTTAATTAAAGAACTAGTACACTTATTTTTGTTGTTAATAACTTACTAAGTTAATTAATTATTCAAATATAATTTATAACAAACTTAATATACCCATTTAGCAATTTATTTTTATATTTAATGTTTGTCAAATTGATGGATAATTAAGAAATGATAATTAGCAATCATGAACAAGTAAAATAATAACAATTTTCAATGAAAATGGTACAAAATATATATTAAGAGATTGCAATAAATATGTATATGAATTTTTTTTTTTATTTTTTATTTTTTTGAGGATATATCATCATTAATCATGAGTATCATCACCATCTAGTGGAGTAAATGCACCCCAAAAACATGTAGCTTATGGATAACTAAATCTATATTAGATAAGTGCAAAACATGTTGAGTCATGATATTAGTAAATTGATCACAAGTTCAACTATCAAAATAAATATATATATATAAGTGCTTAAAATAAAATACACATACGATGTAAAATTAATTGAATAAGATATTTAAAGATATTCAATTTTATTTATATTATATTTTTTAAACCCATATGTTGACGAACAAATTTTTACTTAGATGAGAAAACTAGTAAACAATTATCTTAATGAGGAATCAACACCTAATATAAAAATTATGATAAAAATAATTAAAAAAAACCCATAATAATAACCATAAAAATAGTATAAATTTTAAAAGAGATACATATAAACTATCCCATTAATAAAAAAATTTATTAAAATTCTATTAGTTATTTTCTACACGAATTGAAATCATATTATCAAAATAATTATTTTCTCCGTTACATATTTAATAAAAATAAAAAATATTTTATTTAAAATAGATCTTCATGGTTGCGGATACCTCAGGGGCCATGGGCCCGGGCCCATGTCTTAAGCACTCAGCCTCTTCTCTTATTCTAATATTCCACTTTGGATAAAATAGAAATAAATAATTCCAGTTAATTTTATTTTATAAAATTTTTTAAGGATGTCACGGGAAACTAATTCTTTATAGGACGATCAATAATCAATTTTAATACACATAAAATTATATATACGACCTAAGTAATTGTTACTTAAAACTAATTTATTTATTTATTTATTTTTTGATAGATTATCAATTAGTTATCAAGATTTAATATTTATTATAATTTAGTTTTTTTTTGGTTTGTTTTAATGGCTATGGTTTTTTTAATTTATTATAATTATATATATTGATATATTAATTTAATTAAGTAAAAAAAAACAGTATATTTTTTAATTATTGTATATTAAGTGTTTGAAACAAATAGAATATCGTATTATATTATATAATATTAAAAATTAAGTTCTAACAAGTTGTGTTTTGAAAACTAAATTAATAATTTTTCTTTTATTTAGCGATTTACATACATTTATGGATTTGAGCTTAAAATATTTATGCATGCAAGGATTTAGGTGTATGTATAGATTTGAGTTGTAAATTTCTTAATTTAAGAGGTAAATTAATTATAATATAGACTTTTTTTTTCTTTTAATTAAAAAGTCCAAATACTCGACCTAAATTTAGATTTTCTTTTAATCCACGGATCCCCTATATGTTTGACTACGAAAACGGTTACATTAACTACTGACACTATATACCCGTACCCGAAACCGGGATCCGAATCCGAACAACATAGATCTAAGCATGATCTTCCGGGTTCCATCTGAGAAAAATAAAAACCGACACCGATTGAGAAAAACGGGAAGTCAACGAATCAGATACGTTGGAGACGAAGATACGAGCAAAGTCGAGACTTCCCGTCGATCTGCGGAAGATTGAAAGAACGGGAGATAATCTTGCCTGAGGAAGAACGGAGACCTGACGCGAGAAGGATGAAGATGGAAATGGCAGCTGGAGATGAGAAAGGTAGAGGCCTGGCAGGCATCGGAGAGGAAAGCTAGGTAGAACATTTAAGCCGGTTTAAACTGTCCAACACGCTGTGAACCCTCTCTCGGAGGAGAGGTTTGTTCTTCCGCAAGGGAGGGGGAGAGAAGAGGGGTTGTTGAGATAAAATTTTTAACACAAGATCGAGAGACAGTGAGAGAGATCTGAGAACCTTGAAGATGAGGAGGAATTGGAGACGAATAAAACCTAGAGAACAGAATTAAATGCAGTAAAAAAGGACGTTGGTAACTGATAGCAATTTAAGGCTTGGATTTCTCAATTGGTAAAATCTCTGTAACCCTCTACTTAGATGGATCGAAATGCGTTTAGGTTAGGGTGCTTTTTTTATTTAAAGATGAGAAATAGGCATTAACATTTACTGCTTCTTGATGTATGCTCTGTTTGAAATGAATGTGCGATTGTTCCGAGGAGTGGAAACGAGAAATTATGGCTGAATGTCTCTGTCGGTGCCTGTGTCTCTTGTCTCTTGCTTGATTTTCCCCTCTTTCGCATCATAATGCATAATATAACCTCTGTGATGAATTTTCTGGATTGTCTGACAGTTTTTCTTTTTCCATGTTATGATTCTCTTCTGTCCTGTTTGTTGCTGGTAATTATTCAGTAACCAAGTTTTGCGAGCGAAGTTTCTTTCTTCTTTATTCCAAAGGAAGTAGTAAAGGAGAGGTCTCTCCATCTTTTAAGAGGTAAATTAGTTTCGAAATGTGTAGGTTTTGCTCCTACCACTAGCAAAGTATTTCATGAAACAAGGATTAGGATGATCTTTTTCTTTAATTAGTTTGTTTCCTTTTTTTGAATCTTCTCATTTATATCAGTTTTCCATTGAAAAGCTCTTGCTTTATTCTCGAATGCCTACTTACTGCTTGATTATCAATTAAATGCATCCACTAACATCTGTTATGTTGTATATTGGGTCTCCTCCCGTTCCATGTGCCAATTTTATCTAATTCAAGAACTTCATTTATGTTTACTTTTCATGTGAGTTTGTTGTTGGTTTGTTCATAATTCTCTGTTGGAATGTGCTTAACTAATTCGGCTTCGCCAAGTAATTGGGTTTTGTGTTTAACTTGATAATGTGGCATGCCTACAGATGCTAAGGTTCTGGGAAGCCTGATCCTACCTAAAAAGGATCATTTGCGACTCCACAGTCTTATTCAATAAAATTGTTGTTTTTGGAGAGTCATGGAGTCACTGCTTATGGCAGCTATAAGCAACTATATTTTAAAGTGCTTTTAGACGTTTGATAGAATATATAGCCTGTTTAAGTTCGTGTCTTTTTATCTCTTGTTTCACATATATTCATATATCGGTATACACGTGCCTATGTATATTTTAAGTTTCTCTCTTAAGTTTATTTCTGGTTTTTATTTTCAGGTTCTGTTTATCTTGAAGCTTGTGAGTTCAGAAGTTAGTCCGATTCTTTTTTCCTGACTAAACTGCTCCATTTAAGAATTAAGGTCATTTGAGGGCAACTGTTAATTCAAATAGCTCTACAGGAAGAGTATGGTGAATCATGAGGTGGATGAAATTTCCAAAGCGTTACCTGATCGTCATTTTGACATTTATTTGCACCTGTGTTTGCTATATAGAACGAGTAGGTTTCTCCATTGCATACACCATTGCAGCTGATGCTGCTGGAGTTAACCAATCAAGTAAAGGCACCATTCTTTCTACATTCTACTATGGTTATGCCTGCTCCCAGGTGCCTGGAGGATGGGCAGCTCAGAAAATAGGAGGAAGAAAGGTTCTCCTTCTCTCATTTGTATTATGGTCATCTACTTGTTTCTTGGTCCCGCTTGATCCAAATCGAGTCATGATTTTGGTGATGGCTCGCTTACTTGTTGGTGTGGCCCAAGGTTTCATATTCCCTTCCATCCATACTGTCTTAGCACAGTGGGTTCCACCTCATGAAAGGTCTAGATCCGTTTCGCTTACAACATCTGGGATGTATCTAGGAGCAGCTATGGGAATGCTTGTCCTTCCAAGTCTAGTGAAGTTTAAAGGTCCACAATCTGTGTTTGTTGCTGAAGCAGCATTAGGTGTAATGTGGTCTCTGCTTTGGTTTAAATATTCTTCTGACCCACCTCGATCTGATCATCCAAAAGCGACAGCTGCTGGATTTGGAGAGTCTTTATTGCCAATCAAAGGAAGTCACAAGAATAAAGTGGAGAGTACCAGCAGAACTGCCAAAATCCCATGGAGAAGGATTTTACTTAGTTTTCCAGTTTGGGCAATTGTAGTGAATAACTTCACATTCCATTACGCTCTTTATGTGTTAATGAACTGGTTACCAACATACTTCGAGCTTGGGCTACATCTAAGTCTTCAGGATATGGGTTCATCAAAGATGATGCCTTACCTCAACATGTTTATATTTTCTAATATAGGCGGAGTTGTTGCTGACCACTTGATTACTAAAAGAATCTTATCTGTGACAAAAACTCGGAAGTTCCTCAACACCATTGGCTTTGTAGTTGCTTCTCTTGCATTGATGGCGCTGCCCCTCTTCCGAACTTCCAGTGGGGCTGTCTTTTGTTCTTCTTTGGCACTTGGTTTCTTGGCACTTGGGAGAGCTGGGTTTGCTGTGAATCATATGGATATTGCACCCAGGTATGCAGGAATTTTGATGGGAGTTTCTAATACAGCTGGTACATTAGCCGGCATTATTGGGGTCGATCTGACCGGAAAGCTTCTCGAGGCAGCAAAAACTGCTTATTCGGATATTTCAAGCCCAGAAAGCTGGAGACTTGTGTTTTTCATTCCAGGATTGCTATGCATTTTTAGTTCCTTCATTTTCCTAGTGTTCTCAACAGGAGAGAGGATTTTCGACTGAGGTAGGCTTCATTTGCATGTAACTTCTGCTGGTTATCCATGTGGATAACTGAACTGAGTATGCTGATTTCTGCTGGTAAGACTTCTACACCAATTTTTAGTGTACAACGATTTTACCAGGGTAAAAAGTGATCGAGAAATAGTGGATAGCAAGAAAACAAAGTCATTCTTTTATTTGTTCACTGAGGGGATTTACTTTTTACTCTGGAACATTTTAAACATGTATTGCTGGTAAACTTTGACAGAGGAATACGATCAAATAAGGTTCTTGGTGGTGGTAATTTTTGGTTCTTTGTGAGCACTTGGTCTTCGTAGCACTTCATAAATTTTGGTTATATGCCATTAAAGTTATTCGCTTCTTTTTTGGCCTAATGGTCACGGTGGTATTATGGTGCGTCAAGACATGTTTCACAAGCAGCTGATCAGATCATCAAATTATTACCGACAAAATCAGCTGGATCCTTGAACGGTCTATGCAGCAGCTGGCAAGCTGGCAAAATAAATATGATCCGCTGGCTCGGAAAGTTATCTTGCCGGTTTTGACTCTCCACTTGCAGCCTCCGGAAAGTCAGGCTTGGCGGTTTGACTCTCCTGGAAGACTCCAAATTCAAACCAAACCGCTTCCCAGTGGATCCAGGAGTCTTAAGGTTAGCCTGAAAACTGTAGTTCCTTCAAGGGGCTTGGATTTTCAGAATCTTTTGTGGGTAAATGCGGATCTGAAGCCTCAGTTATAAAAAATAAAAAATAAAAAAAAGAAGGAAAGAAACACGAAATTATTAGAATAAAGTAATAGTTAATCCTTTTAAATGCAACCTGAAAATGGGAGGGGAGAATTAGATGGATTCATTGAATGGGTTATCTGCATTTATATGTATTTGTGTGGGTATATATATATATAACAGAGTGATAACAGTGAAGGGTATATTTAATGTAGGAAAAGATGCATAAAACATGGTGTGCGATGAAATGATGGATAGAGATCCAAGGATAATTCAATTACACGAGCATCATCTATAAGAAGTGCGGAGAGATTTAATTGGATGCATGCTTCCAAATAATGCATGAGTGGGTTGGTCAAGTACGGAGGCTTTTGTTTCCCAACTTATTATTATGTCTACCCAACACTCCAACTTCCAATTTGAATACTCTTCAATTTGCAAATTTTATATGAATATCTATACACACATAATGTGTTCGCTATATACAATTATTTTAATATCATATCTGTGTATATACGGACACGGCTACCCCATTAGGCAGACGTTGAACTAAATTTTGTATTGGAAATATTCGAAGAAGTTGTGCTTGAATTTGATTTAATTTGTTCTCTATATTCATGTGTCCTTACGGACGGAGCTTAATACAAAATAAAGTAAAAAATATTCACAAGTGTCTATTACTATTAATTTTATTTTGATGAAATTTGTCAATGACTGGGACTAGGCTGTTGATTACAAAGTTATCCACATAAAATAAATATGATTTTCTTTGGTATAAATGTAAGTAAATTTACTTCGAATATTATATACGTGCGTGTGCGTGTATATATATATATATATATCAAGAGGAGAGAAAAAAGAAAGTGGGAAAAAGCAAATGTAAATATTCATTTCTTGAAGTTGACGATATCCAAAACTTGGATATGTTGATCATCTATTCAGATTTTGGTTATAATCTTTTATCACTTGATCCTCAAGTCACTTCATCTTTTATTTTGTTCCTTCATTATTTTAATTCCTATCAACTACGGTTTCATTGTCAACATCCCTTGGAAGAAACAAAAACGAATCTTCTTTTTAATCCATTTAACGTCATATGAGTCTAATTGTGTGTGTGTATATATATATATATATATATATATATGCACATACATATGTCTATATGTACGTACAGATATAGAGGAGGATGTTTATAATGAAACCTTCAGTTTGCTAATCTTGTACATTATCTTGTGAGAATTATGGCATAACATATTCCACTGTCTCAATTGAAGAACAAAGTTGGGAAAATAAATGTAAAAATACATGGGTAGGAATTATTAATTCATTATAGAATGATCAAATTAAAGAATTAATATTTTAACTAATTAAATAAAAAAAATATTTAATTTAAAACATATGATTATAGCTCTCAAAGTGAGTTAAATATTAATTAGTTATATGCTACATGAAAAATTATTTGAAAGAGACAGTTATGTATATATTCTTAACAATGTCAAATTTAGATTACCAGATAATAATTTTTTTTCTTTTAATTTTGAAACTGAACCCATTTTTGTCTATTCCATACATATATATATATATTAATTGGGTAAAATATTCCTAATTTGTGCATTTATTTATTTATAAATCCATTGATTTTGACATTATTTTTTGCATTGAATTGAACTAAATATTTAATTCTAATGCAGGAAAACTTATTATACTAAAACAAAGCTGCTTACGAAAATTATGCCAAGTTTCATATTTAAATAAAGAATTAAAAGACAATAAATTTAAATTGTTAAATACCAGCATTAAATTTTATATATATATGTAATAATGAATATTTACCGACCACATGAGAGAATTTCTAAATATAAAATAAACTGCTAAAAAAAAAAATCATATTTTAACGTTTGAAAAATGATGGATTTGATTTTAAAAAATAATATTATTATTAGTATGTGTAAGTTAAAATGTCAAATAGACAGGATTATTATTATTATTATTCTGAAACAACAAAATCTTTATAATCAGCATGAGAGAAAATAATAATTAAGTAAGTTGTTAAAAGAAAACAAGAGAAAACTACAAAATGTCTTCAAACCCTTCAACTGTCAAACTTGGGACCTACTTGATTGACCCCACGGTGATGTGCCTGCATGACCACCAACAATCATTTTCCACGTGGCAAGCGAATCATCAATGGATTGGGAAATTATCCACTAAACTTGTTTGTAGGAGATTATTAAAGGGTACAAATATATTCGAATTTTTAAATGAAAATAGTATTATAATATCAAATTAATTATATATTCAATTGAAATTGGGTATTTTTTTTTTTGTAATTTACTTATTGACATGTGTAAATACAAATTTCATAATTGTATAATTGAAAATATGGGCAAAGTTAATTTAATTATATATTAAATCTATCATTTATAATTATTTTTAAAAATTAAATAACTAAAATTTAAGAATTGAATACGAACAGATTTGACTTGGATCCACCTATTGATTGATTACTAGTTTTGTGTTTCAAAAAACACTAGTTTGGTCTTATTTGTTACCTAACAGATCCTTTACATGGTTGTATTTCATCTCTTTAACTAAATAATTTGAACCAAGACTTAAAATGCAAATTCTTGTGCCAATTGTCCAAGGCATTAACAACTAAAAGATATATATATGTGTATTTATATATATACACACACATCACATCCATATTCGCTCATTAAGGGTTAGAATGGAGATCAAATTTATTTTTTTATTGTTGCTATTTTCTTTATTTTATATATAAAAAAAAATTATAAATTTGATAATCTAAATATGTGTTTTTATTTTAAAAGTGATTCGTATGGTATTATATTTATATTACTTAATAAATATATATTTTTTGTATTGAAAAAAATTAAAACTTAATCTCTCAAACTTAAAAATGTTTATTTTCAACTTATCTAAAAACTTAAATATAATCAACGGCTGATGTTGGAATTAGGACCCATCACCCACCTTGTTGAACCCACAATTTTCTCGTCAGCATGCACGAGTTCCTCGTGGTCATGGACTTTAATATTTAAATTAATTTTTTTTTTTAAAAAAAAAAGAAAAAATATCATTACCAAAGAGTACGCCAACGCCACCATTGCTTTCGTGATTAATCTTTTTGTATTATCGTGCTTAAAGTTGGAAACTCTCTTTTCTTCCCCCCCCCCCATATCTTTTAAAGTTTAAATGAACTCAAAAACTCACCCAATAAAATAATACTTTTAATCCAAACCAATAATTAGATATTTTGTAATAAATCATAATATATACACACACACCCCCACCCTCCCATAGACCCAAAAAGAAAAAAAGAAAAGCCATTTCTTCCCTATTTGGTGGAACGATAATCGCTGTCAATTTATAATGGTCGGACAAGTTTTGAATTATGTTTTGATAAAATAAGTTTGTTAGTAGAATTCAATTAAAATTTTGAATTTTGTTTTAATTTGAAAATGTATATTCTTTTTCATGATAAAATGGAAATTTAAAAAATAAGCAAAATTGAAACAGTACTCTTATAATTATAATAAAATTAAAATATATTATTCTAATTATACTTAAAATATTACTCAATTTTTATTAATTTAAATAAACTTTTAATGTCATCTTAGTTTCTATAAATAATACAATGATCAATAGATAAATGATATGCAACAACTACTTTTAGAGAAAAATCTTCAAAGGATTAACATATCATTTCTTAAAAAATATTAAATTATAAAATTTTTCCTCAAACTTTGGCAATATATTCCCTAGAAGAGTAATAAATACAAAAAATATATATATATATATATACACTCAATAATATTTATCCTCATGCCTCTCCTTTTAATATCTAAAAATTCAAATCAACAAAATCATTTTAGAAGTGAAATCAAAAGCAGAACACCCAAAACCCGAAACCAAAATCAAAGCACTTGCACAAAGATTTTACAAGCTACATTACATAAAGATATTTACAATTTTTTTTTTTTTCCTTTTTTTTTTTTTCCTCCTTCTTTTACTCTACACTCTTTTTTGAATATAAAATTAAAAGAGAGAAAAAGAAAGGAAAAACTAGTATTTGACTTGTTTCATTGTATTTGATTGATTACATGAGCACGTGGGCAGCGGGACAAATCCTACACTGACACTTCTGAGGCCCTGGCAGCGGCGTTGCCGGATCTTGGTTGCCGTAGAAGCTCTATCAATGTCTCCGCCTGTCCACATATTCAAATGCAAAGCGACAAACAACCACTCGTTTCGTTAATCAACTATATGATAACATAAAAACTTAACACACCCACTAACCTTAATTTAAGAAAATTGTTTGTTGCTATCCCTGCCTTTTTTGTTTAAGTTAGCGTGTAAAATTTAAAGTATGGGTAGAAGTCCCCATGCAGGTGCAGGGCAATTTGCCCAATTTCAAGCAGCAGTGACGTGGCATAACAGAGTTCTCTTCTGTTTAGTAATAGAAAATCCGAGAGAATGTTGTAATTAACGAAAATGCCATTGGCTGTGCCACATCAGCCGCCACGAGTCACCGACCAGCGCAAACATGGCGGCTTTTTCAGTTTTTACAGATGCCGGAATTCACTCACCTTTTGTTTGGCGCGATTTGCGCCGGACTGCGACCAAGCTACCAAGGGAGGAATTGCTCCTTCTCGAGCCACCATCGTGCGGTACACCACACTCTCTTCGCACACCTGCAACAGTATCGCCACCGCGATCTCTTTCTGTCTCTGTGATCCGACCTCGATGATCTCCACCAGCACAGGGATCCCGCCTTCTTCTACTAGCGCCGTTCTCGCTTCCGGCACCGTCACCAAGACACTTAGGACGAACGCCGACTTATCCACCATGTTCGAGCTAAAGTCAGCCATAAGCTCAACCAAAGCCTTCATGATCCCTGCTTCGACGGCTCTGATCTTGTTCTCCTTCACCGAGCACAACGAATAGAGAGCCGTAGATGCGTCTTTCTTCCCGCGAAAAGCCCCGTACTCGAGGAGGTTCACCAAAAGTGGAATCGCTCCGGACCGTCCTATCGGGACCTTGTTCTCCTCTATCTGAGAGAGGCGAAGCAGAGCGCATGCCGCGTTTTCTTTAGCCGTTGGGGTCCCTGTCCTCAAAGCCCTCACTAGCGGCTTTATCGCTCCTGATGAAGCTATCGGCGCTTTGTTCTCGTCGCACAAAGAAAGATTCAGTATCGCCGTGACACCGTACTCTTGAAGCTGAGGATCGGTGGATGAGATTAGCGCAATTAATGGCTTAATCGCACCTGCTTTGGCGATCTTGAGTCGATTCTCTGGTTTGTTCTTCGCCAAAAGCCTGATCTCCATAGCCGCTTGCTTTTGCTCGTCAATAGAGCAGGACTCAAGATCCGATACCAGCTGGCGAATCAGATCGTCGGAATTATCCGAAGCGCAAGCGATAAGGAGCCTTCGGCTCTGAGACGAAGCCGTTGGGAACTCACCGGATCTATCACTATTACAATCACTGAAAGCCGCGGAGTCATCATTGATACTCAAATCACCAAAGTCCCTTCCCATATACGAGTAGTTTGCCGGATTCTCCGTCTCCATGGACAAGGATTAATCCCCTGGAGTCACCGCATCAAAATCTCGCCGACAAACAGTTTAGAATCAACGGTTGAGATGGATTCGGGTATGTGAGGATCCGAGATAGAGCCAGAGTCGGGTTATCGTTATAGTCGGGACTTGCCCTTGGGCGTCTCAAGAGTGACGGGGAGGAGGGGGGGAGGGATGGGAAGAATATAAGGGAGAGAGAAGCCATAACACCTGGACCAGGGCTTGGGGCTCGGGTTGACACGTGCACATTTGACCGTACC